CCGGACTTCACATATCCAAGAATAGTCAAAATACTAGCCGAGGTCAGGAACACAGACTCAGACACAACGATGAGGGAAAGCCAAAAGTCAAAGATAACAGAATTCAGGGAAGTCAAAACTAAGCCAAAGTCAAATACCAGAAAATCAAGATCAGGAAAGCACTCTTGGATTACCATCAGGATGAAACCACGACAGGGCAATGAGCAAAAGGAGAATTAATTTTAAATACGCCTCAAGTGGATCCGATTGCATGATTGCTGCTCAGCACAACTTTTCCTGTCAGGACGGTAATGCTGCTCAGCACAACTTTTCGTGTCAGGACGGTAAATGCCATTAACCACATTTTTATGTGCAGATGAATACGTGACATTACCCCCCCCCCCACCTGAAGACCGCCCACTGGGTGGGTAGGACCAGGTTTGAGAGGAAACTTGGCATCAAAAGAACAGATTTTACGACCAGAAGCCAAAACCCAAGAACAGTCAGCAGACCCATACTCCCTCCAACCAACCAAATACTGTAAGAAACCACAAGAAAACCTGGAATCAATGATGGACGAGACTTCGTACTCCTCCTGTCCAGAAACAACCAAAGGAGGAGGGGGAACAACCGATTGCAAAGAAGCGGTTTGAGCAAGGACACATTAAAAGTATTAAGTATACATGAGGACACTGGAAGGGCCAGAGAATAAGAAATAAGATTGATTCTCCTAACCACACAAAAAGGACCAAGAAACCTCGGAGCAAACTTCATGCTGGGAACCTTCAACCTGATGTTGCGTGAGGATAACCAAACCCGATCACACACCTGGTAAACTGGATTGGCACTCCGCCGTTTATCCGCATGAAACTTAAAGCGAGCAGTCGTAGTTTCAAGAGCGGCCTGAACCTTAGTCCAAGTATAGAGGTAATGTGATCACCTAGAGTAGGGATAGCCATATCTGAAAACACATCAGGGAGAACAGCAGGATGATGACCCGTATTGACAAAAAACAGACTATGTCCAGATGAGTCATGGGTAGCATTATTCCTTGCAAATTCAGCCCAGGGCTATAATTCAGCCCAGTTAGACTGTGTACTATTCACGAAGCAACGTAAATACAGCTCAAGTGATTGGTTAGCTTTTTCAGCCGTACCATTAGTTTGGGGATGGTAAGCAGAGGAAAATGACAATTCAATGCTGAATTGTTTATTGAATGCCCTCCAGAACACAATATGCCCTCCAGAACCCCTGTCAGACACAATATTTTGAGGAATACCATGTAGCCATTTCGCGTATAAATATGTGCACCAGGTCCTGAGACAATGGCAATTTTTTAAGTGGAGTAAAGTGTGCCATTTTCGAAAAACGGTCATCTACCATGAGGATGGTTGTATACCCATTGGAAATAGGCAGTTCAACAATGAAATCCATCGATAAATGAGACCATGGGATACTGGGTATAGAAAATGGCTGTAACAATCCACACTGAAGTTTACGAGGAACCTTCGAAACAGCACAGACAGATCAGGCTTCTACATAATCTTTAATATCCCTCCTGAGTGACTCCCACCAAAATGACCTGGAAAAGGCAGATACAGTTTAACTAATACCCGGATTCCCAGCGGTCACATTGTCATGGAATACCTTCAGCACCTCGTTCCTGTCAGGCAATGGAATAAACAATTTATCTTGAGGTTTGTTGCAAGGCGCCTGGGGCTGAGCCACCATGATAGCACGGAGCAAAGGGGACAATAAAGAAAGGACAGTGGATGCAATAATATACTCAGGAGAAATAATAGGGGATGTCTCTTGTTCTAGATCCGATTCAATGTCAAATTGCCCAGACAAGGCATCAGCTTTAATGTTCTTAGAACAGGGTCTGTAGGTGATAATGAAGTTAAAGCAAGACAAAAATAATGACCACCTAGCTTGTCTAGAAGACAGTCGTTTGGCATCCCCAATATATGCCAGGTTCTTGTGATCAGTAATAATCAGAATGGGATACTTGGAACCCTCCAAAAGATGTCGCCATTCCTTAAGTGCTAGTGTGATGGCTAACAGTTCTCTATTACCAATGTCATAGTTACGCTCGGCAGGAGAAGTAACCAAAAGGATGCAAAGGGGCATCCTGACTCTCTCTCTGATAAAGAACAGCCCCGACCCCTGTCTCGAAGGCGTCAACCTCAAGTAGGAAAGTGTTAGGAAACCAAGTATATTTAAATCTTATTCTGTAGTTTCCTCCCGAACCGCCAGAGCCTTAGTGATTATAGCTAGTGATGTCCCGAACGGTTCGCTGGCGGATAGTTCCTGGCGAACATAGCGTGTTCGCGTTTGCCACGGATGGCGAACATATGCGATGTTCGGTCCGCCCCCTATTCATATACTAATACTAAGTAAAAATTACTTAGTATTAGTAAATTGTGCCCCTACTCGCAATACCGCCATATTGATAATGAGGGGGGGGACCTACTGCCCCCCCTGGCCCCCACCCCTGCGCGGTGGGTGGGGGCCATAAAGATAATGAGGGGGTGGGGACCTACTGTCCTCCCCCCCGCCTCCCATCCCTGGGCTGCGGGTGGGGGCCCTAAGTAAATTCCCCCCCCCAAGGTGACTAGGGGTCCTCAAGCCCCTAGTCACCCACCCCCCCAAATAAAAAGTCCCTACCTACCCCCCTCACCCTAAAAAATAGTGAGGGGGGAATAAAATAACTAACCTGTAAAATAAAATTAAACTTACCATTCGACGTCTTCTTTTTTCTCAAATCTTCATTTTTCAGCCCCAAAAAAGGCCAAATAAAAAACCAACATAACCGTCGAACAAAAAAAAAATTTAAAAAATCCTGAGCGCCAAAAAAAAAAACCCAACGAAAAAGAAAAAACCAGAGCGCAAAAAAATAATCCATCTTCACCCATGGAGGGCTCCGCGCAGACTGAGCTCCGCAGGGCAAGGGAAGGCTTATAAAGCCTTGCCACGCCCTGCAATTAGGCTAAGAACAATCTGATTGGTAGGTTTAAGCCAATCAGAGTGCTCTTTGTCATTTTACACAGCGTGGGAAAATTCCAAAGAAATTGCACACGCTGTGTAAAATGACACAGAGCACTGTGATTGGATGGATTTCAAGCCATCCAATCACAGTGCTCCGTGTCATTTTACACATTGGGAAAATTCTTTAGACTGTTCAAAAGAAAACCACAAAGGCCTACCATTTGTAAAAGTAGACACTCCAGGGTATCTCATATGGTGCATATTGTGCCTTAACATGCCCTCATTTTTTCACCAATATATGCCAAGGTATGTGGTAAATAATTTTGGGTATTTTTTTTACATACGGATTACATTTTTCCTTGGCATTTTGTATATTTCATATGTGCCACTAAGCTTAAAGCCCCAAAATTATGCTCAGCTAAGTCTTCTGAGTAAAATGATGTCCCCAATGAATGTCTTTGGCACTAGTGATGTCGTGAACATGAAATTTCCGGTTCGCGAACTTCCGCAAATGTTCGCGAACCCGGCAAACCGCCATAGACTTCAATTGTCCCCCCCCCCCCCGGGCCCCCACCCCTGAGCGGTGGGCGGGGGCCCTAAAATGAACAATAAGGGGGGGACCTATTGTCCCGCCCCCACCCCTGCACGGCGGGTGGAGGCAATATTGATAATGAGGGGGGACCTATTGTGTCCCCCCCCCCGAGCGGTGGGTGGGGGCCCTAATAACAATAAGGGGGGGACCTATTGTCCCCCCCGGCCCCCACCCCTGAGCGGTGGGTGGGGGCCCTAAAATGAACAATAAGGGGGACACCTATTGTGTCCCCCCCCCGGCCCCTCCCCTGAGCGGTGGGTGGGGGCCCTAATAACAATAAGGGGGGACCTATTGTCCCCCCCGGCCCCCACCCCTGAGCGGTGGGTGGGGGCCATATTGACTAATGAGGACCTACTGTCGACCCCCCCTCCGGCCCCACCCCTGGGGACGTGGTGATGATAGAGGGGGGCCTAAGTGCCCCCAAATAAAAAGTCCCTACCTACCCCCCTCACCCTAAAAAATAGTGAAGGGGGAATAAAATAACTAACCTGTAAAATAAAAGTAAACTAACATTAGACGTCTTCTTTTTTCTCAAATCTTCATTTTTCAGACCCTTTTTTTTTTTTTTTAAACAGTGAGCAGCCACTGTTTAATAGACATGCCCCTACTCGCAGTATTGCGAGTAGGGGCACAATTTACTAATACTAAGTAATTTTTACTTAGTATTAGTAAATGAATAGAGGGCGGACCGAACATCGTATATGTTCGCCATCCGTGGCGAACGCGAACACGCTATGTTCACCGGGAACTATTCGCCGACGAACCGTTCGGGACATCACTATTTGGCACTATTTTGTGAAGCTACGGTGCCATAAAGAGACCTGTCCATTTCAGTATTTACAGTAGAATTTTGAGAGACAAATTTAATGGGCTTATACTTCAATTTGGGGCATTATAGCAGTTTGACTGTTAAAAAAAGAACCCACAAAGGCCTACCATTTCTTAAAGTAGACACCCCAAGGTATTTCAAAAGGCATATTTTTTTTTTTTTTTTTAAATTCTTTATTTTTTGCGTGCAAGAGTTAACAAAGCAGCTTACTCTGCCACAATGACATACGTAAGCGTGGTCATAACACATTGATTTTAGAATTATGGCATTTAAAGTAGTGCACATTTTTTGAATATAGATGCTCAAACAAAACATAGGCTACTATAGATTACAATTTGCAGTTGAACTTGCTAGCTTAATCTGCGCATTTTATGAAAAGTAAACAAACTAGATAGGTACAGTGCTAGAGGGTTAACTATGTGGAGCAGGAGGTGAAAACACTGATTTAAAAATTAAAAGTTAAGAGTGAAAAGTAGTAAAACCCCCTGCTACATTAGCATCTTAGCTTAATATGCAGGCCTCCATTTTGGCTGCGAGTGATAGGATTTTTAAGGAGCAAAACTGAACATAGTAAGAAAACGAAATAAGTAATATATGTCATCAGACATTTGTGTGAGTTCCAGTGGGGCAAAAGGAGTTATGTGTCTGCTTATACTATCTGGGTTAGAGTCTCAGTCCCTTTTGGGTCAGCCGATGCCTTGACGGGGCTGGGTGGGTACCCCCTGCTGTAGGTGGTGCAGCTGGTGCGATCTCCTTGGCGTGTGGGTGCTGAGATCCCCTGGGCTGTTCTGAGTTGCTGTGGGTGCTGTGTGTAGCTTCACCTGCCTTGTTTGGGGTGGTCTTGTGCTTGTCTTCGGCGGTTCCCCCCGCTTCCCCGCCTTGCCTGGGAGATGCCGGTGTTTGACCACTCGCCGCCTTCCAGCATCCGCTTTTTTGGGTTGTGCGTGTTGCCTCTGCCCCTGCCACTTCGGGTAAGTGTCGCCCTTTTGCTGCCTCTGCCGTTGGGGCTGTGTTGCTCTTTTTCCCCGTCTGGCATCTTGTGGGGTACCCTGTGGCGAAGTCTGGGGGATCTCTTCAGGCTCTGAACCTCTCATGTGGGCTTCTAGGGACTCCCAGAAAGCAGTGAATATACTGTTTAGTCGCCTCTCAGTTTCCCGCCATGTATTAGACGTGTCGGCGATGCGAGATGCTTCCGCCATCTTGGTGGTCTCAGGGACGGTAGCTTTTGGGCTGCATGGAGCCTGTATTAGCCCATTGCTTCGCCCAGGAGTCATTTGGGGGTGGACCGGGATGACCCCCACCGGTCCAGAGGGGGGGGGAACGAGGGCTTGCAGTCAGCTTTCCGGCGTGGCCTTGCTGCTGGGGATCGGCCGCCTCCCCTGCGCCTGCCACGCTTGTAGGCCTCATTGTGTGCTGTGCTCAGTTCGTTGCTTGAGAGGTACCGATCTCTGCACCTCGGTGTCCTCTCTCGAGTGGTAGCTTTGAGGTCACGATTAAGTGCCTGTGCGGCAGTTAATTTTAGCGTTAAGTGCCCGGTTTAGTAGGAGCTGCTGAGATGAGCGTCTGCACAGCTCTGCGGTTAGGCCCCGCCCCCCAAAAGGCATATTTTAAACGTTAGCGTAGGATCATTTTTTTGCTAGTTTGT